AAAAAACGTGGGATCGTACAGACTCGACTTAAATCCCCAACCGAAGATGTGCCCTGGCGCGTCGTGTAGTCACGGGCGCTGTCCTCAAGCAACACGAAGGTGCACACTTTCGCCACGAAGATGGTAATTTCAAAAATATAAAATAGAGCCGTTCTTTAACTCTTCTACTGAGCTATTATAAGTTCGTAAAAAGATGGAACTTACTTACAACTGCTACTGGAAGATATTTCGATGGAAGCCAGAATATGGCAGCTACAATCGTTATGAACAAAGTAACAGCAGCAATAATTGATTTACGGGGCCATAACAATTTAGAACATCTCGAGTTCATTTCTTTTGCACGAGTCGGTGGAAGTGATAGCAGTAGTAGTTTCACCTGGGATGAAACCCTATAAAAGAGTGCCAGTGTTTAGGTAGCTGTACAAAGTTCTAGACAAAACGCGCTGTTCATAATCTATGAAGCATACGCTTTTGTGGAAGCGTTCAAACCTCGACATAACAATTCAGCCCACAAGGCAAAAAAAAATAACGCCACGTTAGTTCTCTGCAGAAAAAACGACCACAGACTGTCTGCAAAAGCTTGCTAAAAGCTCTCCAAACTTCCAAAAATTGTAGGTATTGTGTAGTGGTCTGCAAACCTAGAATAATCAAGTAGTCATACTCATCAGATTTATATTGTTAACCCGCAACTGTTTGGAACTGCGGTAGTTTAACAGTCAGATTAGTCCTGATGCTAACAATATTAGATCAGAATAAAATCGATTTCGTACCAGTGTTATAGTATGCTCATCCTACCATTACTTCAAAAACAAAAAAATTTTCTCAGCTGAAACTCTTCCCATAGAAGTTATTCGGTGTCTTGATTACCTATATCACATCCATCTTTACCGTTATTAGCGCCATTTGGCACCAACAGGAGCTAATTTGGCGCTACAATCTTACCCACCAGAATCGATGAAAACTTGTATACGAGAGTTATTTGACGTCCTGATCAAGAATACACAATGTCTGCTGTCGCTGGCGCCGTCCCGGCTCCGATTTGGCGCGTCCACCTTTTCCGCCATAATTGTTGAAAGCTTGCACAATGGCGTTTATTGATTCCCTTGATCACGGAAATGACATTCACTTTTCCACACTAGCGCAGTTTAGCGTTCTGCTATGCCTGAGCCTGTGAGGGGGAGTGAGGCGCTCCCCGACGAGCTTAGCCTTAGCAGAGTGCAGACGGTCGCGCCCTGCATTGACGCCAGCGCCAAGAGTGAATGTGATATGATTAGGAAGTCTAATAAACGCCGTACCCAATTTTTCATCGACTTCGCTGTGCTAGGTGATGGGGCCGTGGCGCATCTTGCTGCGAGCTAGCGCTAACGCCAGAAATGAATTTCATGTCCGTGATAAGGACACTGAATCACCTCGGTCAAAGTTTCAACTTTGGAACTTTTCGAACATCTGTTTCCACACTTGTTTCAACTAAGTACTCTCTGAGCGCTCTTCCCCCTCTAGATCAGTTTTGGGCATTTTATAAGCCCCTGTCATCCGCACGGGCAATGATACGAACATTCTGATACGCAACGAAATTATAACGGTTTCCGCGGAGTCGCTGGAAAAAAGGAGGTGTCACTGAAGTTACTTTGCTCCCAAGCTAATTTACCCTCAAGAGAAACAAACTTGCTGCCATTCCGCTACCTTTTTATGTTCAACTGCTCAAGTTCATACTTAAGTGTAGTAATTTATTGTTGAATTGAGCTAGGCGACCTCACAATCGACCCCAAATGGAAGATTGCAATGAGCCTTCTGAGGAAGATGGCGAGGCGAAATTCGGGATCTCTCTCTCCATTCCAGGTACGTCCGGTCCCCACCATCAACTGGCGCCTTGGCGACTGAGGTGAAGATGATGTCCTAGACCGTAGCGACGTTGTCGGAGCTGCTCGATGATGGAGGTCTTCCAGATCGAGAGTACTGGTCTCCAGGTAGCTATCCATGGGTGACTCCACACTAGAAGTTTCGCAGCTGTTTGGAGGTGACATGAATTCCAAAGGTCTTCTCCAGTCAGGCTGCGACTGGAGATGACTTCATATTTTGGTGTACATGAAGGTGATGGGCGAGAGCCAGCTCCTGCTTATAGAGGAACATCTTGGGTATCTTCCGCCCTGGTACTCGTATCCACGTCCTCTGTCTGGGCTGCGAAAACTTTGCTGATATGTGACTCGGTCGAAATGCTTTTTTTGGCCCTCCCCTTGTACACAATCGCAGACGTTCGTCTACGCCGTCTCACCGATCGAGAACGATAAGAACTATCTTCAAGTGACTTGAGATGTGTTTGTGTACAATCGAACGGTGTGTAGGGCAGCTTCGAGTAAATGCAGCCGGTTCAGTGCCTGACCACCTCACTCTTAACTTCTATAGCCAACAAGGTGGTACAAAGTCTACTGCTATGCAACTTTCCAGTCACTCACGTTCCACTACTTGTAGATCAAGCTCTTGAATCTCTGCTACTGTTGATTCATCTAAGAGAGGTGCTTGTTAGGCTGCTTGCAGTGAAGTAGAGACTGCTATTCCTGACGACTATCAAACTACTAATTGCCAATCATTGGATTATCACACTTATTCAACTGGCAACACAACTGCAGAAGGTATGCCGGTGTGAAGGCAAAAGGTATGCTTTGCTTGCCATATAAATGACTGAATCACTTCTGCAGAATTTGTGACGAAACTATCAATCTATCTCGTGGCTATAGTGCTTAAGGGGGTGACAAGAGGTGCGAGGATGGCGGCAGCGTGAAAACCATGTCGACTCTCTTCTGCAACGCGCCTGCCTGTCGCTCTTTGACACATTGAACGCAGCGTGAATTGTCGGCAATACACGCGCATACTCCCGCTCCTCACGTTTGTGTGTTGCCCACAATTCACGTTTTGTGGATCGGTTTCTCACTACAAGGGAGTCGTTCAGGCCGTGGTGGAGCTTTTTTCTAAAACGGTTTGTTATGCATGTTGTGGAGGTTCCATGCAAGACCGGCGACACTGAGATGGGGTTCATTTTTGCTAAACGGTACTGGGAATGTCAAAAAAAGGTCGAAAATAATTTGAAAAGAATGGGCCATTTAAACCACCTTATTCGCCTCTGTTCTAGCTGTAGCGTTGATAGCGCATAGTATGTGAGGTATTCTTTGAGCAGGCATGAAAAAGAACGCAAAATAAAGTCGAGATCCAGTTCGGTTACTTGGCATGTGGTGAGGCTACACTGCGACCTTTTTCTGGTCATCGTGCGATTTCTCTTTTCACAGTCGCTCCTTGATCTCAACTGCGTGAGCCGACAATGGCTGTGGTGGATACGCGCGTTGGGCTCACAGTCATTACTGTTTTGGCGGGATCCTTCTGGCGGCACGCTTTTTGCATTTTTCAGATTTCTCGCTTCTTGTATTCCTGTATGCCCCATAATGCGTATGACCCGGATATACGTCATTTGGACGGCCACATTCTATTGTTGGGAACGGTTCACACAAGGGACCTCACTCAATTGTTACGCTCGCGAAATACCATCGAAGAAACTCTCCATGAAACTTGGGTTACGGCGGTTATCTGATGCTCTGATCACGAATATGAGCACTCATTTTTCAATATGGCACAATGTGTCGCCAATTTGGTGCAAAGGCTTCCTTGTGCTAACAACATTGTCAGTCTGCGCGGCGGGGCCTATTTAGCGCCATACTGGCCCCAGATGGCCGCCGCGCCAAAAATAAGTATCTGAACCGTGATCAGGACCATCAACTACCCCTACGTATAGAGTTACGCCGAAAAATTTTTTTCCGAGCTTTTTGTGTTATGATGCCTGCCATGTCTCCAGCTAGTGGCTATCAGTCCCCCCCCCACCGCTCCCTCCAGAGTCCGTTATCCAACATAGTTGATAGGGAGCTTTTCATTCCCTAGTATGCAATGCATAATTAGCAACTACAAAATCCAAAAAAGAAGTGACACGCAAGCACTGCACACCTTGCACTTTTGATGTGAGGGGAACGAGATCCTTTTCCGGGCAGGAGGTAACGAGTTCTTTGTCGAAAGCACAGACGGTAAAAGTGGAGGAAGTTTCAGGATGTTCGTTTAGTGACTCCAAGCTAGCACGATGTTCTATGAAGACGTACTGAAGTTTAGAGTGCAAGAAATGAAAAATTTCCGGCGGTTAGTATGCCAGAGAGGATACTTAACGGAGGGTACGCCTGTCACTGCCATCCAAATGGTCAGCTCCATGACCACCAAAAAACTCGAAAAAAATTTTTCTGCTGAAACCTCGTATACAGGGGTAATTTATGGCCCTGGTCACGATTTTGATGATTATTTGCGACGCTGACGTGATCTGGGGCCAGCGTGGCGCTAAATGGCCACTGCGAGCGCGAAGGGATGCCGCACAAACCCCCAAAGAAACAGGCAGTTTACCTCACTGGATGCCAAGTAAGTACTTAAATTTCGACCTTATTTCGCGTTGTTTTCCATGTCTAGTTAAGGAACACTTCATAAATTATATGTATTCCGCTTTACAGCTAAAGCAGAGGCGAATGAGATGACAAAACTTGCGTATTTGAGCGATTTGTTTTTATTCATTTTGGACATTCCTCAATAGCGTTTAGCAAAAATGAACCCCATCTGTGTGGTCCTTGTATGGACCCCTACAACATGCAACAAATCGTTTTGAAAAAGCTCACCACGGCCTGAACGACCTCCCTTGTTAGGCTGCTTGCAATGAAGTAGAGACTGCTATTCCTGACGACTATCAAACTACTAATTGCCAACCATTGGATTATCACACTTATTCAACTGGCAACACAACTGCAGAAGGTATGCCGGTGTGAAGGCAAAAGGTATGCTTTGCTTGCCATATAAATGACTGAATCACTTCTGCAGAATTTGTGACGAAACTATCAATCTATCTCGTGGCTATAGTGCTTAAGGGGGTGACAAGAGGTGCGAGGATGGCGGCAGCGTGAAAACCATGTCGACTCTCTTCTGCAACGCGCCTGCCTGTCGCTCTTTGACACATTGAACGCCAGCGTGAATTGTCGGCAATACACGCGCATACTCCCGTTTCTCGCGTTTGTGTATTGCCCACAATTCACGTTTTGTGGATCGGTTTTTCGTGGATAATAGTGCGACTTGAACCATTCTCACCGAGTATATGTTCAGTGAGCTTTGCTATGCTTCGTTCTTGATGGCGTGAAATAAGCTGCTCATTGGATTATTTCATTAATATATGAGAAAACAACCAGTCATTCTTTCACAATCTGTCGTTTTTGGTGAGAATTAAAGAATATGCTTTTGTGTAACATGATATTTTCTGTCAAATTAGCTGCAAAAAAGTGACACACGAGACACTTTCATGACTTTGAACGATCTCACTAATACTCGTTAAACATTGATCACATAGCATAGGCAAATTATAGGTCCTGAAGAACCTTCTGATTACCATAGCTGCAATCCAGTTTGAAATCCGGATAGGGATTCTGACGAAACTTGTGGTAGTGTACCTGAAAAAGATGCAAACTGAAGAACTCTTAAGGGCTGAAAGCAACGACCTCCATCTGTGGGCGTGGCTGTAGCTATTTCGTTCCAACTGTAGCCTTCACAGACGAATTTGACAATCTCTGTAATTTATCACAAGAACTGGATTTAGGAGCAAAAGCCTTGAGCATGGAGGGACTTGAACGCGCAAGTCACGCTTTTCGGTGGAATGCGCTATCCGTTGAGCCGTTGAGGTTGCCTCTTACCCTTTCAGCGTATATCTAACGATATGGCTGAAATACAAGTCGCAAGCACTCTCGTCTATCCCTCACCACTCGAAAAACCTCTTGAGGCATTTGAAGCGCTCGATAATAATTCGTTCAAGTTGCAGGTCAGTTTTATGACGAAGCTGGAAAGTAAGCTCACATGTGGTTGGTTTTCGTACTCCTTCAAATCCCATATGTGATTGACTTGTCCAAGATGGGTACGATTGAAAATAAGCTCGTGCATACAATCCACAACGCCATAGTCGAAGGAAGGCATCATCTGAAGGGCAATATCCATAACATGCCAACAGAGTAGCTGCATTCCTTACTTTGTTAGCCATTAACTTCGGATGCTTAGCGAGCCAGACGAAATCCTCTACGCCAAAAACACATACCATGTGACGATAACGCTGTGAACGGCATCTCAATTTATTACCGGTGGTCCATGTGTCTATCCTGAAACGAAGCTACTCGAACTCATGTCAAACATTGCATTGTGTTATGTGATACACTTGATAAGCACGAGGTAGTAATCTTATTGGGGATGCATGCCACTGCTGCAGTTCGTAAAAAGTGGGGTCGGTTCGAAACGACTTTGTAAGTGCGAATATACTTACAAGTGGAGAAGTAAGTGGAAGTGGCGAATGTTGTAAACCTTATACCGCATATGAACGCTTACACACCTCACGCACACAAGCAAAGTTTCCCGCCTTTCGCGAAAAGAATTCTCCGTTTGGTAGAAGCAATTATTCTACAGAATCGCAGAAATCGCGGGTAGCTGTTTGGCAGCAGTGGAGTTTTTCTTATGCTTTATCTTCCCAATCTTTTCTAGTCCTTGTCCGCTTTTTCTTCTAGAATAATCGTGTTTTTTTTCTGCGCAGGCAGACGGTTCCTGTGATCGTGTACTATCACAATTGTCTAGCCCGCTCTGCCTTGAACGCGGGACCCTATGTACTTGGAGGTGATTTTCGGCAAATCTCCACCAGCGGATGATGATACCGCAAGAGCTAGTTCCGAGACTTTCTGACACGTTGATGCTAGACAACGATCGCGGTTTCTGAGATGGTCGTTCCACATCTGAGTCTGAGCTGGAGTCCCCTCCAGCTGAAGTCTGCAAGAAGAGTAAAGGCAACAGAGTCAACGTCGCGACATTGTGAAGGCACAGTGTTCACAGCCAACAACGGCAGGGTATCAATCCTTGAACGACGCCTACGTTCATAAGAGAACTCCTTGAGAGACGTGCTGTAAATCTCACTCGCCAGATGCTGTTCGTGTATAACATCCGGATCTAATTGATACCTGTTCAGCATCCGGTATTCACGATCTGCGCACCAGATTTACTGATGCGGAACGCATTCGTGTGCCTATCTATCTAGAATGTATCTAGAAGTGCAATAACAGAAGGGTTTTAATTCCCAAACTATTCCAGGAGGAGAGAGCAGTGAAACTTGCGACCTTCCTTCCAGAGTTTTTGATGTAATACTAATAGCAATATGTTTATTTTCATGTTGCACTGTTACGAGTAGTAATATGTTTACT